TAATATTGACAGTAGCGTAAAATATAACCTGCATAACTCATTCTAGTATCAGATGGTGGTATTTCAACCTACACACACACACAATAAAGTGAAGAAATTAAGAGTAAGATATTTTTATTTCTTGCTTTTGAAGTTCATGTGAAATTACGTTTTACTAACACCATGACAGTACAAATTACAACGTTAAGCGTCACTTTAGTGTCTACTGACTGACTGACAGACAACGCAGTACTATATAGTGGTGCGAGAAAATATGACCCCTCCAGGTGGCCTTCGACCCCCTTTCGAGGAAGTAAAATATCAGATATAGAACAAATATTTGCATATACGTATGTGCGCCTATATATATTTATACACACGCCCTCAGGAAGTGCATAAATCTTTAACCAACTCAAAGTTTCAATAATTAATTGTAATCGAAACACGGCGAGATATTCTAATCACGTCATCATGAAAGTAGTTCGAAATTTACCATTCAGCCCTAGCTTTCACTCGTTTCTTTGCTATCAAATTTATTAGATAAAATCCAAGTTACCAAGATTATTTAGAAAGCATAGTTCATTATTTTCATATTCACATTTCGTTGTCTGGTTACTTTATCACAATTAAAACCTTTAAAATATATACAGAAGAAACACAAACCTCGTGGTTGTCTAGTGGAAATTCTCCTTTGTTCAGAAAATACATTTTGCCGTAAAAGATTATATACAGAAGATCTTAATATTATGGTTTCATACCCCCCCCCCCAAAAAAAAATGTCGTGATTAGCATTTATAATTTATTTAGGTAAAATTTATCAATCTAAAACTGTAAATGTATTTTCTCAGAAAATAATATATTTTTTTCAATCTGACACATCTGTAAAAAGCAATAAGAAAATTAAATCATTATCAGAATATTTTAATACATAAGCACATTTTATTTTTCGTGAAACTGCTACCCTTCTTTGTCAGAACTTTTAAGGATTAGATATAAACTGTACATGTCAGTTTTAAAATATTTTTCAAACAAGACTCCCCCCCCCCCACATCAGCTGACAACATAAATAATGTGTGAAATTTTATGAAATTTTGTTATTCATAAAATAGCTTTAAGTGATAAACATATTACACAATATCACTCAAAATAACTGCTCTATATAAACTTAATAGCAGGTCATATCCTTATATGTATATAGGGTCTGCAT